CCCCAAAACCCCAAAACCCCAAAACCCCTTGTGGTAAAATCATAGCGTTGAGTTAAAACATTAATAAAAGTGATTAATTTTTGTGAAATATAAACTTATTTGAAATATTATTAATGGGGAACTGCTGTGACTTTATTGAAAGTGATGTCAGAGATAAAAACAACTAGCCTTAGTAGGGCATGGTCTGGGTTAAAAACTAGAAGAAATAACACAATATCTTTAAAGATAGAAGTAACTTATCTAAATTATAAATTCATAACCTATCTAGATGAGGTGCCGTTTAGAATATAAAGAATTGACTCAAATGTGTCCCTTAGTCGAGCTATAAAATTAGATCAGAATAGTGCACAAAGATGCAATAACCAATTTGTTAATAATAGCTTTGATTCAACTAGGCATTAACTACTATGAGGATCATTTCAAGGCGAAAACTTTAAAAAGGAGAAATCTACTGGGAACTTATATGAGTAAGTTCCAAATCAGTATGGAGATAATCTGACTTTCGCTCCTAATTCTGAGTTGTAAGTACAAACACATTTAGCTAACTAATCCTATTCTGCTGCTTTCATAATGAATCTATCCTTCTTATAATGAGCTTATTAATTATTTTAGAAGAAACAGAGAAGAGGATGATAATAATTCTTTGTAAATGGATGATATTGCCATCAATGTATCATTTACAGGATAGAGTCCAGGGCGTGGAATTGAGATAGACTTACATGAAGGTCAAGGGGGCCCAGTAAATCACAGCTCTTTCGGTCTTCATCATCCAAATTTCGAAGTCAGAGACAGAACTTTGTCATGCTAAAGCTCAAGCCAGAGGTCTCATTTACATGATCATGATAAGTCGTAGTCAACTAGCAATAAAGTACAGTTTCAGTAACAGGAGGAGCATAACGTAAAATGGACAACTGCCATAGAAACATATGAAGATTACTTGGACAAAGAGCTTAATGACTCAAGTAAAAATTACAGTGGGAGTGGGAGTCACAATTAGCACAATAACAGCAACTAGTAACTTCGTGGGAAGGAAAAGTAAAATGCCTCTTTATAAAATGGGCTGCAATAATGAACAAGTATTCTATTAAGGTGATTTTTAAAGAATGGAGCGCGACATCTGGGCGATCTGTGTAAATATGAAATTAAGATATTATTATGAAGACTACTACCAATTAATATAGACGATATTCTTATTTAATTGTATTAATTTCTATTTTCCAAATCAATTCTACTTTAACCAAATGGGGTTTTGGGGTTTTGGGGTTTTGGGGTTTTGGGG